AACACTTTAAAAAGAACGTTTGCATTTTGTTCTAGGTTTCTTCTTATTGATCAAATCCTTCATTTTCTTCTGTTTAGGATTCTAAAGGCCTAAGAACTGCTGTCTTCATAACTGAAGAAACTTTGACAAAACTATCTTACTTTGGGGAGGGTAGCTTGGGAGAGAGACAATGTTAAAGATATTTGTAGGTAGTTTAAGGTTGCTGCCTACAAATAATATTCCTTTTTAAAAAAATTGATTTGAGAGAGAGAGGGAGAGACATTAGTTTGTTGTTCCACTTATTTATGCATTCATTGATCGATTCTTGTATGTACCCTGACTGGGGATGGAACCCGCAACCTTGATGTATCGGACGATGCTCTAACCGACGGAGCTACCCGGCCAGGGCTCCAAACAATATTCTTAAACTGAAAATCTATTCCTCTTTATGTTAGTTTTTTTATTTAAGAAGTTCTCTGAATTTGGACACAGGTTATTATGAATACATAAATATTTTTTAACAAGTTTGATTTCTAAAAAAAAAAAAGACAAACGGAATGGAAACAAAGGTTTTTCCTGTCTTCAACTTCTATTTGGAAATGTCTGAGTCAGGAGAAAAGAAAGATAGCAGGGATATAAACTCTTGTGCAGACTAATAGTATATTAGTTTGCAGGGACAAAGAGTCATTTTCCTTTTAGATAAATGTTTGGATTGATTCTTTGCAACCCGTCCAGCCAAAGAACAAAGGATGAGTATCTGCTTAGAAGAAGCATGAATTATCTTGACTTTGTGACTAGATTCCATATGTATAGCTGAAGCCTAAATTTGTAGGCCATCTAGTCTCTTTGAATAACTGATACAAATACTGATTTGCATCCTTATTAAAGTACTAGAGGCCTGGTGCACGAATTCGTGCACAGGTGGGGTCCCTTGGCCTGGCCAGCGATTGGGGCCGATCCAGAGGTTGGTGGGCCGGGGGTAGGGACCGTGGGAGGTTGGCTGGACACCACCTCTGCACTGGCCAGCCATGAGCCAGCTTCTGGCTGAGTGGCACTCCCCACATGGAAGTGCACTGACCACCAGGGGGCAGCTCCTGCATTGAGTGTCTGCCCCC